CCCCAGCTATGCAAATTTATTTATGCTTGGCTGGGAAAATGATGTTATTTTTAAAAACACGGCATGGGGAACGGACCTGGTCACATACCACAGGTATATAGACGACCTGTTTTTTATATGGAAAGGAACCTTAAATGACTTGGAAATTTTTTTAACTAGTATGAACAATAATAACTGGGGCATTGAACTAAATAGTCAATTCAGTACTAAAAGTATTAATTTTTTAGATTTGGAGATTTATACAGAAGGGGATACTTTAAAAACAAAAAATTTCTTTAAAAAAGTTGATGCTAATAGTTATGTTTTATATAATAGCGGACACTATACGCCTTGGTTGAACAATATACCAAAAGGACAACTACATAGGATTCGGAGGAATTGTACTGAGAATGATATTTTTAAAGAACAAGCTAAGACGATTTTAGATAAATTTGTACAAAAGAAATATCCCGAAGCATTACTTGAAAAAGCATTCGATGAAATCAACACGTTAAGCCAACAAGAATTAATTTCCAAACCTAATACTACTAAAAAATTTGATAATCCTGATTTAATACCCTTAGTTTTAGATTTTAATAATGATAATAAAAAAATTAAAACCATTATAAATAGACATTGGCACCTTCTTAAAAAAGATAAAGAGCTATCTAAAGTAATTCCTGAGAAACCTTTTATCACTTTTAGAGGGGCACCTAGTTTTAAACAAATGTTAACTTTTAATCACCCTAAAGCGGAAGCTGTTACCACTTTTTAAAAAAATTGTAAAAATGGTTTTTATTCATGTGGTAAATGTGTTGGGTGTAAATGTAGTAAGAATAGAACTATTAAAGGTATTAGTAAATTTAAAACGAAGTATAAAGAAGAAGATTTTCAAATTAAGGATTTTATTACTTGTTTTAGTAAAAATCTTATTTATCTTTTAATCTGTCCGTGCGGACTGCAATATGTTGGCAGGACTATTCGTCCTCTACATAAAAGAATATATGAGCATATTAATAATATTAAAAAGGGCTTCGAGCAGCATAGTGTTTCGGCTCATTTTAAAAGATATCACAAATCAGATCCAAGTGGTTTAACTTTTTTAGGTATCCAGATAGTGAAAAAATCTTGGAGAGGAGGTAATTTTATTCTAGACATTGGGAAGGAAGAAATGAAATGGGTACATAAATTAGGTTCCCTAGAGCCCAATGGACTTAATATTGAATTTGATTTATATAATTTTTTATGATTACTCTCTCCTTTTTCCAGTTGTTTTATATATATATTATTATTATTATTATTTTTTTTTTTTTTTTTCATACTGGGATTATTCAGATTTACCTAGCATTGGACCATGTATATATATTTATATTTTTATAAAGTAACCTTTATATTTTCTTTTTCTTCCATATAATAGGATGTGTATTTATATATGTGTATTTTACCCAATTAATTATAATGGTATTACTAGTAGGATTAGTAGGACATATGTGATGTTTGTTATCATGGACATTTTTCATAAAGAGACATTTAGGCGATATGCCTTGGAGCCCATGTAACTTGATTGCAATTGGGACTATTGAAGTAGATACCACGCCCACGTAGACGGGTATAAGTTCTGAGAGACGGCAACCACTCGAACGTGATTTGAGGAAGCCGCCAAGGCGAAACGCGTCATCACGTTTTTTGGACGTACAACGTCATTACGTGTCAGCAGCACCTCCTACTCCCGGAAGCATCTATCCACTGAAAGACCGCAAGTGCATGCTGCGAGTCAGTAGGGGATCCGTACCAGCTTGGCTTTCCAGGGAGAAGGGTGATGACTCACTGTGAAATTTTATACCAATAAAGTCTTATTTTTATTTGGTGCCGTCCTGCTTGTTTTAAGCACATTTATCTACTATCCTACAGAATCCTGATGAGAGGATTTGAACGCTTTTATAGTTAGAGCAGACTTTATTCTGCTCTACCATTGTGAGTGATATTCTTTTATTATTTCCTGGTTACATTTGTGATACAGAGTTACACTATATTGTGTTCTTTTGTCCCTCTATCTTATGTTTTTATGTGGAGCGTTTTAAAGAGATACTCCTTCAAGTGTCAACAGAGTCTAAATCTAAAGGAGTAAGTTCTTTGTTGTTTGTATTTCACAAAGAGCACATATTCACAGGGTATTTACCACTGGATTATATTTATTTGCACTTTAATAATATACATATACTGTATTTGCACTTTATTCACTACAGTTGGACCATTATTGATTTACATATTGTTCATATTGTTATATTAGCACTTAAAGGCACAGCGCACTTTTGTTCTTTTTTTGTATCACCAAGATACCTTATGTAACTAGACACATTAAAAGTCTTCATCTTTTATTTTTTATTTGTCAATCCTAATTTGTCAATATGTTGTATTTGGTGTTATCACACTGTGTACTACATTATGTCAAATATGCTTTTCAGATTTAAAGTTGATGAAAATAATACAAGTATAAAACAAGTTCTGAAGTTTTCATCTTACTCATTCTTTCCAGATCATCTGTTTTAACACTTCTGGTGTCTCCACTGAATGACCACATATGGAGTGAAAGATGATAAGACTTACTTTGAGTTCTTTTCTATTTCTGAGTTTTCATGGAACATGGAGTTGACTTTATAAGATTATTAGAATTGCTAACAGGGACATTGTGTCAACAGCAATGACTTTGCAATGATAATGTATTCTTGCACACCCACTTTAGTGGTGTATGCCTATTATTTTATTTCATATACAGAGGGTGACATCATTGAGACTTGGAGACACTAAGATGAAGAACATCAAGGGCAGGGTGTTCGCTATGAATGTCCAGCAAATACCACCAGTAGACCATTTAGCATCAACAATGCTGTAAGAACAGATTGACAGATTGTATTTGAGAAGCAAGAAGAGTACTTTTGTTTTTATAAGAAAAGTCACAAACTAACAATACATATGTGTATGATAGAAGGTGGGTCTATTTTACCAGAAGAAAAAAATAAATAAATATATATATATATATATATATATATAGGGTTTTTTTTCTGGTAATAATATATATTAATTAATAGTATCAAGTATTATTATTTTATAATAGTATATTTTACATGATTAACTCACCTCCTACAAACCACCAGAGAATTTTAATTGTGAGACGGAATATTTCTGTCATGTGTCCTTAAGGGGTTAACTGAAGAACGCAATGATAAACAGCATCCAGAGCAAAAAAAAGAATAAAAAACAGGTGCTTTGAACTGCAACACATAGGCAACCAAATCCTAATTCATATCAGACTTGAAAGTCCTTGCTCATAGGATTGTGAGCCTGTATTGTGAGTCCTTTAAATGTTTTATTACTCAAGATCATGTTGATCGTAGCGTTCCTCAGTTACTCTTGTTAATAAGTACTCTTCACTAATGACAGCCCATTGATGCTGCCAATGCCGGAGTTTCACCTCCAGCAGCAAGGGGTCAAACTTTTGGTGTGCAGCGTTTCATAGCAAAACCATACACATACAGACTCAAGGCACCATGACTACTTCAAATCACTCAAGTGGTCATAGTGTTTGAAGCAACATTTTAGCTTAAAATAATTGAATGTATGTTTTCCAGAAGGACTGTAATTATCTAAGACCTTTTATCACTCCATGGGTCATTCAGAGTTTATTCACTAAAATTTGAATTGTGGGAAATTCAAATTTAAGGCCAAAGTAGTGGAAAAGGAAGCATAGTTTACTGGGAGACTTTTTCCACTCGCGCTGTTTTTGGCATCAGATTTAAAATTCACTTTGAATTTACTTTGAATTTCTGACAATTCTCACTTTAGTGGATAACCCAGATTAATACTATTTCAGTATCTCTCACAGTGCCACCTTCTAAAAGTTCATTAGAACTCTAAACTCAGATTAGGAATATGAGCTATGACTCATTTAATACTCCAGGTGATCTAAATTCTAAACGGATTAGTCAATACATGAAAAAAACATCTGACTTGTAGCTGATTTAGAAAAAAATTCTGCGAGTCAGCTCTGCTTCTGGTTTAGTTAATTTGGTCTAAATTCACTTTGAATTCTCTCTTTAGAAAATATTATAACTCTATAAAAGTATAATACACATGTATATATCTATATACTATACCTGCATTTAAACAAAATTGTAGTGTGTGTTTTCATTGAAATGCAGGTATATTGTGGGTCAAAATGTTTAAATAAATTTAAAAGTTATAATATTAAAATACTTACTGTAATGTCAGTGCACCACATCATTATGTCAATCCAAACAGATGAGGTTCATTTCACAGAAAGATATATTTATATAAAAGTGAGAATATTTGATGTCACAAAAAAGGTATGCAAAAATCACCTCAAACACATTTGCTGTATGTCTTTTATTTATCCTTTATTTATTCTTTATTTTTTTATATCTTTTTACTGTTTTGGTTTTTTTTCTTGCCTCATTAGGGCTTATTTAGATCCGCCGAGGAAATACACGATCGGGGTAGTTTTATACAGTGGTGTAGCAAGGGGAAGTGGGGGGAGGCGGTCCGCCCGAGCAGCATTTTTGTGGGGCAAGGTCCCTGAAGCGCAAAAGTAACAATAATTATTTAAAAGAATTCTCTGCCTAAATGGGCAAACCCACCCCCCAAAATATCACTGTTAGTAGATATGCCCCAATGAGTTAAATGCATGAATTTTTCATGCATGTATTCATTGAGTGTATATCTTAAAAATCTTGAAAATGTTGTAAACTGTGTTAGGCTAGAGGCGTTGAGTACTTAAAAGAAGTATGTCTGGGGGGGGCAGAGCCAGCTGCCATACTGTCTGGACACAACAAGAGAGCTCCGGGCCTTTCAGAAAATAAAGTCCCAATACTTGTCTTTTCAGCATGGTACTTGACTCCTAAAAGAGAGGAATCGTCCCCACCAACGATGGGGCGAAATATAAAGCGGATAAAATCCTGACAACCGCCGACATCGGAGATCTCCTGAGAAGGCCGCAGGGAGCAATGAAGCCTGTCATGGCGCCTCTCTCCGACGGGTTGTCTTACTCATCCAGCGAAACATCCCTCCCAGACATGGAGGAGCTGACCACCATCGCTAGAAGACCGAGAGCTGACTTATCTGCAAAGTGGTCAGAGGGCTCACGGGTGATGAAGGGAACTTTGACGGCCCTTCTCGACGACCTCCGCCGCAATCTAGCTGCTGATCTTAACTCCTTCAAGGCGGAGATTAGCGGAGTGTCGAGGCGCCTCCATGATGCAGAGATAACCACGGCCGCTCATGAGACCCGCCTAAATAACATGGAACAAGAGATATGTGAAATGTGATGTGAACAGGCTCAGACTCAGAGCCGCATTGCGATGATGGAAGCAGATCGGCTGAGCTGAATTCCCACACCTAGTCAGGAGGTTACTCACACACCTCTTCTCAGCCAAGCAGGCCAAAATGATGGCCCTGGATGGGTGCTTCCAGTTACCAGCGCCTATATCACGCTCCACCGAGGTGAACAGGGATGTCATCATCCGCTTTCAAAATGGGCCGGACAGACAAGCGTTCCTAATGGCGTTGTAGAATATGACCATATGACTTCAAAGGTCGCACGCTCATGTTCCACCCAGACCTAACCAGAGCAACACTGGAGTGGCACAGGTCCTTAAAACCGCTGACAACTGAATTGATACGACACAACATACCTTACAAATGAGGCACCCCAAAACGTTTGCTGCTACCCCGAGACTCAGGGAACCTAAAAGTCCAAGAAGCCACGGAAATCAAAGGCACCCTACAGCAACTGGGACTGAGCATGACACCAGAGGATACGATACCAACAACCCAAGCATTGCAACCACACACCTGGGATCCAGCTAAGGTTACATAGTTACATAGTTACATAGCGTCCATCAAGTTCAGCCTACCTCACATTTGTTTTTTGCAAAAAAACCCAGTTTGAAGCACAATTTGCAACAAGCTAGGAAAAAAAATCCTTCTTGACCCCAGAATGGCAGTCAGATTTATCCTTGGATCAAGCAGTTATTACCCTACATGGAAAGATTATATCCTTGAATATTCTGTTCTTGCAAGTATGCATCTAGTAGCCGTTTGAACATCTGTATGGACTCTGATAAAACTACTTCTTCAGGCAGAGAATTCCACATCCTGATTGTTCTTACAGTAAAAAAACCTTTCCTTTGCCTTAGACGAAATCTTCTTTCTTCCAGTCTAAACGCATGGCCTCGTGTCCTATGTAAAGTCCGGTTTGTGAATAGATTTCCACACAATGGTTTGTATTGGCCCCGAATATATTTGTAAAATGTTATCATATCCCCTCTCAGGCGACGTTTTTCTAAACTAAATAGGTTTACATTTGTTAACCTTTCTTCATAGCCGATATGTTCCATTCCTTTTATTAATTTTGTAGCCCGCCTCTGCACTTTTTCTAGTGCCATAATATCCTTCTTTAGAACAGGTGCCCAAAATTGCACAGCATATTCAATATGGGTCTTACCAGTGATTTATAAAGAGGCAAAATGATATTCTTGTCCCGAGAATGAATGCCCTTTTTCATGCATGACAATACCTTACTGGCCTTGGCCACTGCTGATTGACATTGCACATTGTTGCATAGTTTGTTGTCTATAACAATTCCTAAGTCCTTTTCGTGTGTTGTTATCCCTAATTCGCTTCCATTAAGGGTATACGTTGCATGTGTATTCTTTACGCCGAAGTGCATAACTTTGCATTTTTCAACATTAAATTTCATCTGCCATTTGAGTGCCCAGTCCCCCAGTCTATCTAAATCCCTCTGCAGCAAAGTAATATCTTGTTCACATTGTATTGTTTTACAAAGTTTTGTGTCATCTGCAAACACTGAAACATGACTTTCAATGCGGTTTGCTCATTTGTGCCGGCTGCCAAACGATGCAACTCTGCTTCGGCAGCGATCTACTGAAGAACTCATTAGATCGCAATACCTCTTTAACTCGTAACAGTTCATGCTCTGTTCTGCTTATAACTGTTTGTTTCAATGTTTAAATGATGTTTTACATTAATCTTACCTGGAACCTGACACTAACTAAGATACCCGCTGACACATAATTTCCCCCATCTGATGGCTTGTGGGCTACACCTCTTAACACTCCCTCCCCCACACCCTCTTACCTTACATTAGTGCCATCGTGTCACCTAATGGGTGCCAGCCTCTTGTACATACAGACCCACATTGACTTCCTATCTACTAACCAGGAAGCATAAGGCCTATACCGCCTTAAACTGTTATTAACTGCACCTACCTACTCTTTCATAGGAGGCGATAGACCGAACAGGCTATATAACAGGCTATGCAACTCTATTTCCCTATCTCCCGCATCTGAGCGACATATTAGCCTGCAATTTTTCTATTTCACACTATAAAAAAAAACTATGCCGTTTGTTAATGTCATGCCTTTGTTTTTGCTATGTTAAATCCATTGTACTTGCATCTTCTACTTGCCCAGACTCTCATGGGTCGAGATAGGAGCGGCAAACTCAGGGGCAGCCCCAGCGACAAAAGCTCTAGCTACGCCACTGGATTTACGATGAAGGAGAATGGGGGGAGAACTTTACGATTATATTGGTGACAAAACATGTTTTTTGGGTTTTTTTTTTTAAATGTTTGGCTTTTTCTATCTATCTATCTATAAAAAGATAAATGGTAGTGGTCCTTCTGGTAACTGGTTCCTTTACAATGTTCTTAGCTAAACCTTCACTTCATAATGGTGTATAAAAGAGAACAGAAAAAAACAAATAGTACAATATGTCTCTTAAAAGTGTCACAAACAGCACAGAAGTCCAATTTTCAACTCACATTTGGTGGAGCTATAACAGGCTCAAGGTAAAACTGCATACAGTAGTATTATTCCCCACTTGTAGGATATCCTTCTGGCAACAGCTCACAACAAGGTAATGGTGAGGAGGATATAAAATAACAAAAAAAGAAACAATAGTCCTCTCCATATACAGGGAGTGCAGAATTATTAGGCAAATGAGTATTTTGACCACATCATCCTCTTTATGCATGTTGTCTTACTCCAAGCTGTATAGGCTTGAAAGCCTACTACCAATTAAGCATATTAGGTAATGTGCATCTCTGTAATGAGAAGGGGTGTGGTCTAATGACATCAACACCCTATATCAGGTGTGCATAATTATTAGGCAACTTCCTTTCCTTTGGCAAAATGGGTCAAAAGAAGGACTTGACAGGCTCAGAAAAGTCAAAAATAGTGAGATATCTTGCAGAGGGATGCAGCACTCTTAAAATTGCAAAGCTTCTGAAGCGTGATCATCGAACAATCAAGCGTTTCATTCAAAATAGTCAACAGGGTCGCAAGAAGCGTGTGGAAAAACCAAGGCGCAAAATAACTGCCCATGAACTGAGAAAAGTCAAGCGTGCAGCTGCCACGATGCCACTTGCCACCAGTTTGGCCATATTTCAGAGCTGCAACATCACTGGAGTGCCCAAAAGCACAAGGTGTGCAATACTCAGAGACATGGCCAAGGTAAGAAAGGCTGAAAGACGACCACCACTGAACAAGACACACAAGCTGAAACGTCAAGACTGGGCCAAGAAATATCTCAAGACTGATTTTTCTAAGGTTTTATGGACTGATGAAATGAGAGTGAGTCTTGATGGGCCAGATGGATGGGCCTGTGGCTGGATTGGTAAAGGGCAGAGAGCTCCAGTCCGACTCAGACGCCAGCAAGGTGGAGGTGGAGTACTGGTTTGGGCTGGTATCATCAAAGATGAGCTTGTGGGGCCTTTTCGGGTTGAGGATGGAGTCAAGCTCAACTCCCAGTCCTACTGCCAGTTCCTGGAAGACACCTTCTTCAAGCAGTGGTACAGGAAGAAGTCTGCATCCTTCAAGAAAAACATGATTTTCATGCAGGACAATGCTCCATCACACGCGTCCAAGTACTCCACAGCGTGGCTGGCAAGAAAGGGTATAAAAGAAGAAAATCTAATGACATGGCCTCCTTGTTCACCTGATCTGAACCCCATTGAGAACCTGTGGTCCATCATCAAATGTGAGATTTACAAGGAGGGAAAACAGTACACCTCTCTGAACAGTGTCTGGGAGGCTGTGGTTGCTGCTGCACGCAATGTTGATGGTGAACAGATCAAAACACTGACAGAATCCATGGATGGCAGGCTTTTGAGTGTCCTTGCAAAGAAAGGTGGTTATATTGGTCACTGATTTGTTTTTGTTTTGTTTTTGAATGTCAGAAATGTATATTTGTGAATGTTGAGATGTTATATTGGTTTCACTGGTAATAATAAATAATTGAAATGGGTATATATTTGTTTTTTGTTAAGTTGCCTAATAATTATGCACAGTAATAGTCACCTGCACACACAGATATCCCCCTAACATAGCTATAACTAAAAACAAACTAAAAACTACTTCCAAAAATATTCAGCTTTGATATTAATGAGTTTTTTGGGTTCATTGAGAACATGGTTGTTGTTCAGTAATAAAATTAATCCTCAAAAATACAACGTGCCTAATAATTCTGCACTCCCTGTAGGTATATACAAATAAAAAGTGAAAATGTACTTACACTAAACAGAGCAGACACACCACTTTTTGATCCAGGCATAGGTGGTATAATCCCCACCTAGGATTCTTTGGATGGTAGTCAGCAGATGTCACAAGTGTAAAACCATAAACCAGGTGTAAAATGAGTATCTAAATAGCCAGGTTTGCACCAATTTCTCCTAAGAGAGAGTAACGGTCTGTCAAAATTTGGTTATCAATAAAAATGTTCACTCACTTTTGTGGAAAGCATCATATTTATTTATTTATTTATTTAATTTGCAGTTATTATACTATCCAGAGCACTTGGTATATATAGAGATAACCAAAAAGTAACATTGCATTGAATGATTTTCTAACTGCCAGAAGGAACACAAAGGATGTTAATGTTTATTTTACACTGAGACAATATCCTAAAATAATATTACAAAAGCTACAACTCATTAATGATGTCAATAAAAAAAACAAAAAACCTCATATATCTGTTTTATTCTTTTTTTTCTAAAGCAGTTTATCTTTATTTTCTAAAGAGAAATTCCTGGTTAACAACAAATCCATGTCCTGGATAAGATTAGGCTATTCGAGATGAAGTTGAAAATAGACAATTGAGTTTCAGGAACCTGTGAGGTCTTCACCCCACCCGGACCCTGATTTAATGTAGACGTAGGAGAATCATCACACACAGAGACAATAGAATGATACCACCTAAGGCACCTCTCTCTAGTTCTCTACTCTGTCACCATAGCTAAGACTCTGTG